GAGAGCAAGAACACGGATCTCGGTGTCATACCATACCAAGCTTTTGCCTTCCTAACTCTGCATCTTTGAGCATCGTTGAACTTCTCTGAATAGCAGATTCTTTATCTGTAAAATAAAACAAGTATATATTAATGGGTTTTATAATCATACCTAACGTGGAAGATATTCAATAAAAGTTAAATCCAACATCAAAATCAACTCTTCTATATTGACGAAGGATGGAACTATGCCTATGACAACAGGATATATTTTAATCCTTCCAACATGTCACACTGTTATGCCTCAACACGGCAAAATATCTTCTACTCTCATTATAACTTGCATGTATTCCAAATTCTAGCAGCTAATTATTTTTATACAAGTTATCTGAATGTTTTACTGTTATCTGAATTACTTTAGCACCCTGGGTATCTCTCAAAAATTATTTTTCCTTTGAATTGCTAACCTATGGGTAATCAAATCCCAGTCTCATAAATATTTGTTTTAATAGGAAACAATTGCTATCCCTCTTGGAAGCCAGAGTTTCTTCCAACTTCTCTGCAGCCTCTTTCACTGCCTCTTACTACAGAGGGATCCTGTCCTCCTGTATGTCTATCCCACTTGAGCTGTATTTTATGAGTTGACATCTATGCATCTGTCTCCTGACATCTGAGTGGATCTTACATTGGTTAACAATACAACTGAATTCATTAAAAGCTCCTGCCTCATTGCAATTCCACGAAAGCTTCCTCTATCTTTCTGCTAAGTTTTGTTTCCTGGGCTTTTCCTCTCAAGTGTTTCAACATGGCAAAGTTGTGCTTTTCTCTGGGAAAAGGAAATTAAAATCATCTAATATATATATTTCCGATATATAGGAGTGGCTGGTAATGGAATCAAGAGGAAATATTGAAAAGAAAGCAATTGAGTTAATACAAGATAGTGATTTAAAAATGATATGAACTTGGCTTCTGAAATCAAATTCAGTTCAAGTCCAGGATCTACTACTTACTAAGGGCATGACTTTCAACAAGTTTAAAATGCACTGATGCTTTAATTTGTCCGTTCCAAAATAGGTAAGAAACAAAATCTTCAAATATGCAACGGGTGAATAAAACAAGTATACAGCAGGGAGGAAACACAAGAAATGCTAGACTTCTTTCAGTGGTGAA